ATAAGTTGTAATGTTCTAGCTAGACAAAATTTAATTTTATTTTAGCTGTTATGTCTTTTCAGTAAAAGAATATTTCAAGCCATTGAGGAACTAGGTGTGTTGTTTGGCACAGGGCTTAAACTGCCATGTGGACAGCTTTATCCCAGGTGAGAGTGACTGAGTTCAAATCCCAGATCCACTCTCCTTTCAAGCTTCTGCTAATGTATACATGGGAAGCAGCAGATGATGACAAAGTAGTTAAGTCTCTGCCACACCTATGGGAAACCTGGATTGAGCTCCTAGGTCCTGGCTTCAGACTGCCCCAAATATGGGCGTATGGGAGGGAGCCAGCAGATGGGAGATTCCTCTGTTCTATGTCTTTTTCTCTTTTTGCCTTTCAAATAAATAATAATAAAAAGAAATCAAGACATAAAATAAACATACTATTTGAATTAGTACATATTCATAAATCACAAAGGGATAACTATTTGGAGCTATTCAAAGGGTATTTGTGTAATTTTAACAGTCAATAGCCCACGTTCACAATTTTTCCAGGTTAATCAAATAATAAATGAGGCATGAACCAGCCAGCTCATTGCCACCTGGCTCATTTTTCTTTACAGTTTAGTTGTGCAGCTAATTAATCCTTCCTAGATGAGTTGCTTCATTTTTTTATGTGGATTTTTCTCATTGTCCATTGTATATTTTATCTAATGCTACCAGGCAGTCATTTCTGTTTTGCCATTGTTATTTCTGTGGATCTTATAACACAATAATCCTGGAAATTTTTTTCAGAATATTTTATGCCTTGTTTTTGCATATTAATAAGTGAATTCTTGAATTTATCTAGGAATTTTTTATATTTAATAAATTATTTTTAGTAGTTTTTGGAGACCCTTGGATAAGAGCTTTTAGAGCAACTGTTTAGCATGGGCTTTCTAAACTATTTGTCTTGTATTTTTAAAGAATTTTTTTATAGTATCTTTAAATTCTGTAGTACCTCTCTTACTCTGAGTAACTTTGTTATATTCAGTGCTAAAAGCAATTATAGGTGGTCTAAGCCCATTTATAGAAAAAAAGCACATAATCTTTTGTTATTGTTGAGTCAACCCAGAACTACATAATTTTTTTTAAGATTTAAAATTTTGTTTATATTTAGTTTACAACTTTGGATATTACACAAAGATAAATAAAATACTAAGAAGTTGAGATCATTAAGGATCATCTTAGGAGCTGACTACCACAATAAGCAAAGGTTCTTCAATAGGTGCCATGTTGTTAATTCATGTTAATGCCATGTTGTTAATGGAATATCTTTAGATATGTATACAAAAAGCAAGATTCATGATAATCTAGATAACTATGATGATCTGCATATTTATCTGTTCTGTTCCAATCCATTTGTCTCATTTTCCTATTTCTATGGAGTCTTTTGTTAACAGGGATTCTAGTACAACAGCTGTTCCTTGGATAATTTCTTGAAAAACAATAAATAATTTAGATATTTTCATTTATAGAGCACATAAATTGGGTCATGTGTGGTAACTATAATGTATCATGTCTGGAAGTATCTTACCAATTCAATTTTATCACAGAGAATAAAGAACAACTTCAATAGCAGTTGAAGCCTCAGGTATAGCTTGGTACATAGGATTGCTTCCACTATTTTACTGGATTTATTAAAACAAGGTATATGATATTCTATTAATAAGACGATATTGGTAGACATAAAGCCACTCTTTCCATAAGAGATATTATTTCCTTTGGAAGGTTGGAGGAAGAACAGCAAATTCATGGATATCAAGTCTCCTGGAGTGAAACAAGTCAATAGATTTGGAGTAGTAGTCCTGAGTTTTAGTCAATGTTCTTCAAATGAAATTTCTGATTACAGTATCTATAAGTTCTCTTATCTAGAGGATTCCAAATCATAGAGAAATGAGGCTATTTTCGTTTGATCATTTAAACATCAATAATGGCATTATTTTCTGGCTTAGTTACATTGTAAGTTCATGTCTAGCCACATATTAGATATTTTTATAAATTGATAATTTTACATTTCAGTGTTTTTTTTTAATTTCACTAATTCAGGAGGATTAAGGTTATTTACAGAAGGGGTATGGTCCTCTTGTTTGTTGTAGGGAAAACTTCAGAACTATTTAAAAGTTTTTTAAAGTTTATATTTCATCTTTAGTTTACAAGTTTGAATATTTAATAAAGAAGAAGTTCTGAAAGTGTCTTATGTAATGCTTTTCTATTTTTATGTTTTAAATTTATTCTGCTGGGTTATTTAAATCTTCTCTTTTCTACTGTGCTGCTTTTTTAATATTCTCCTTCATGAGAAGCTAATAGTTAATTAATTATTTGTAAAACATACATTAATATCTAAAAAAATCCAGAATTACATAGCAAATATTTTGCCCTATATCTCTGAAATTCAGGAAAATCATTAATTAGAGCTCTTAATTTCACTCTAGGCCAGAGTTAATTCCAGCTTTATAGAAATGATTTATGTTTTAGAAAGTTTATAGTATGATATTAGTTCCTGGTCAAAACTCTGAGAACATAGCAACTCATAGGTAATATAACATAAAATTGCACAGGAAATGAAAAGATGGCAGCTTTCAGAAGGTTGTGAAAGACTTGAGAAAACTCCATTTGAGTTTGAAATGTTTTTTTGCAGTCTCAGCATGCCTCCTAAAGGAGTTGACTACTGGCTATTTTGTGCTTTCTCCTACTCTTAAGTATTTTAATTTATTGATTTTATCATATCATGATTCTCCATAACGGCCATTGTTCTCCCAAGTCAATCAATCAATCAATTAATCAATCATCTATCTATAATTTCTATCTCTTTCTATTTGTCTATCTATATATGTCATCTATCAATATCAGGGAAACAAAAAAAATTAAGATTAAAGAGTAACTTTACCTAAGAAGCAAAAATTATTTTATTAAGGTGTTAAGACTTAGATGCAAACAGGTCCTGAAACATAAGAAAGAGGCTATTAATGTCAGTCCAAGAGTGTGTGCTTGTGAACCGATCTTCCATGGATACAAAGGGATAACTACCTCAATGCAAAAGAAATCCAAATAGTTGCATTTATTGCTTAATATAGTAAGTGATTGGTGTGCAAGTCAGATAAATTTTCTTAGGCAAGAGTACTCAACTTGAATGGGTTTTGGAAAGAGTGAAGTTTCTGGATTGATAAACTTTCAGAGCATGAACTGGTTGACACCATGTGTAGAAATGTGATTACTGGGGGCTGGCATCATGGTTTAGCAGGTTAAGCTACTGCCTTTGACACCAGCATTCCATATGGGCACCAGTTCAAGTCCTGCTTTTCCTCTTCTGATCCAGATTTCTGTTAATGTGCTTGGGAAAGCATTGGAAGATGGCCTAAGGGCTTGTGTACCTGCCACCCACATAGGAGACCTGGATGAAGCTCCTGGATCCTGGCTTCAACATGGCCCAGCACTGGCTGTTGTGACCATTTTAGGAGCGAACCAGAAGATGGAAGATCAGTCTCTCTCTTTTCACCTCTCTGTCTGTTTCTCCCACTCACTCTCTAACTCTGCCTTTCAAATAAATAAATCTTAAAAAAATGTGACTACTCACATGAAACTGTTGGTGATTGTCTGGAACTGATGTAATGAAATAGTTTGTCAGAACCTTCTGGTTTGTTAGAAGTGAAGACTGAATTGGTTGTCATGCAAAATATGTGCACTGAGGCAGGTTGGTGCTAATTAACTGAATAGGCTCAAAACAGATTCTCATGTTTCCTTGCTGCCATGGCTACAGAACAATAAATCTTTTCCTAAATTTATAAAAATGTTTTTGCTTTCACAACTTAGGAAATATATCCCCAGACCAAAAACGAAACTTTGTGAATTGGTTGTCTCCAGAGGCTAACAATTTTTTCTCTTATTCTGAAATGCAAAACAGATTTTATTCTCCATCTAGAGGTAAGAGATAGGCATTCAAGAACAAATGCTAGCCTCTCTTTTCAAGAGATACATAAGGGGAGATTTCATTCTTTCTTTGTATGTTTGTATGAAATATTCAGATGCTAGACTCAGATCATCCCAGATCATCTACAACAAAAAAGATTTTAAATGATTAACATTGAATTATGTGGTAAACAAGAGAATGTAGATTCCTCTAAATAATGAAAATTAAATTTTTGCTTAAAACACATGAATGGCCAATAATAACAAGAACAAACATTTTATGACCTGAATTTGCCTATGGAATGGATGATGGCTGCATAAAAAAAAAAAAAAAAAAAGAAATGTTTGTTAGCTTATTTCTTACTTTTTCTACTAGATTATTACCACTCAACTGTCATTAGAAACAGTTTTTTTTTTTCACTTTTTCTGAAAAATGTAAAACTGAGTTCCATGGAATAGTAACTATCTATGATGTTGGTGTTGAAACAAAAGATAATTTTATAGGTTTGTGTCATATTAGACTTATAATGATGTTACATCTGAAGACATGATTGTCCAGGGTAGATAATGGTATATCTTTACTTACATAACAGTGAGGCATTTTCAAGATGCAGAAACTAACAAATCATGAAGGACATAAACATAGTCATCTTTTTAAAAGATTTATGTATTTTTCTGAAAGGCGGAGTTATCCAGAGAGAGGGAGAAACAGAGAGAGAGAGAGAGAGAAAGAGAGAGAGAGAGAAAGAAAGAGATTGATTCACTCTCCAAAAGGCTGCAACAGTCAGTGCTTGGTCAGGCTGAAATCAGGAGCCCGGAATTCCATCTGGATCTCTCATACGAGTGACAGGGGCCCAAGAAATTGAGCCATCTTCCAATGCTTTCCCAGGTACACCAGCAGGGAGCTGGAGCAGAAGTGGAGCAGCCAGTACTTGAACCAGTGCTCAAATGTGATGCTTGTGTTGGCAGGTGGCAGCTTAACCTACGGCACCACAATGCCAGCCCCAGTGTGATCATTATTACTCAACAGAAATCTTGAATTCGTGTTTCAATGACTTTCTTTCTTATCACAGGCTGTGAGCCCATTCCTGTCCGCTATCTTGAATGGAGCAACATAGAATCAATCATAGCCATCGCCTTTTCTTGCCTGGGCATCTTGGTTACCCTGTTTGTTACTCTCATCTTTGTGCTATACCGAGACACTCCTGTGGTCAAATCTTCCAGTCGGGAGCTCTGCTACATCATCCTGGCTGGCATCTTCCTAGGCTACGTATGCCCTTTCACTCTCATTGCTAAACCTACTACCACATCCTGCTACCTCCAGCGCCTCCTGGTTGGCCTCTCCTCTGCCATGTGCTACTCTGCCTTGGTGACCAAAACCAATCGCATTGCACGCATTCTGGCTGGCAGCAAGAAGAAGATCTGTACACGGAAGCCTAGGTTTATGAGTGCCTGGGCCCAGGTGATCATTGCCTCAATTCTGATTAGTGTGCAGCTAACCCTTGTGGTAACCCTGATCATCATGGAGCCCCCCATGCCCATTCTGTCCTACCCAAGCATCAAAGAAGTCTACCTTATTTGCAATACCAGCAACCTGGGTGTGGTGGCCCCTTTGGGCTACAATGGACTCCTCATCATGAGCTGTACCTACTATGCCTTCAAGACTCGCAACGTACCTGCCAACTTCAATGAGGCCAAATATATCGCCTTCACCATGTACACCACCTGCATCATCTGGCTTGCTTTCGTGCCCATTTACTTTGGGAGCAACTACAAGATCATCACCACCTGCTTTGCAGTGAGCCTAAGTGTAACGGTGGCCCTGGGGTGCATGTTCACTCCAAAGATGTACATCATTATTGCTAAGCCTGAGAGGAATGTCCGCAGTGCCTTCACCACCTCGGATGTAGTCCGCATGCACGTTGGCGATGGCAAGCTGCCCTGCCGCTCCAACACTTTCCTCAACATTTTCCGGAGAAAGAAGCCAGGGGCAGGGAATGCCAAGTGAGTTGTCTGAGCTGGGTTTGTCTCTCTTCCTTCCCTTCTCCTTCCTTTACCCCTTCCCTTGCCCCTCCTCACATTCTTTCTCTCCCTCCCTCCCATTTCCTTCCCCATTTCAAAATGGTTTTCCTCTATTACTCCAACGACTTTTTCCCCTACTTTCTTAAGCTTTTCTAACCTTCTTTTGCAGTGAGTGTAGAACTAAAGAACACTTTGCTTTCATTCCTTTGAGAGGAAGGAGCATGAAGCAGCAGCCAGCTGAACACATCTCATTCCTGCTAGAAGCTCCATCTTCAGTTCTTCCAGGGATTTTTCCTTTCATAAGGGTGCCCCTCCATGAGCTTCCGCATCCTACTAGGTTCTAGTCAGAGATACAAGCACAAGTTCTGGTTCTAGATTATGCCATGGTTGGAGGTGGCTTACCATTTATTTTTTATCATTCTGTTATTCCACCATTACTAATTTGATGTGGAGGAGAAGGAAACTAAGCACTTGGGCAAATTCTCATTTCAAAATGTTCATACAGCCAAGTACCAAGTATGTCTTGAAATAAGGCACCACTGCTCTAATTTTGGAACTTAAATATGTATTGTAAAAGATGTTACACCATGCTACACCTGAATTAGGATATTTTTGAAGATATATTTATTTATTTGAAAGTCAGAGTTATACACACACAGAGGGAGGGAGGAAGAGAGAGAGGGAGAGAGGAAGAGAGGGAGGGAGGGGGAGAGAGAGGGAGAGAGGAAGAGAGGGAGAGAGAGAGAAAGACTCTGCCATGTGCTGGTTCACTCCACAGATGGCTGCAATGGGCAACGGATGGTACTGGGCTACGCTGAAGCCAGGAGCTTCTTCCAGGTCTCCCATGTAGGTGGCAGAGGCCCCAAAACTTGGGATATCTTTCACTGCTTTCTCAGGCCATTAGCAGGGAGCTGGATTGGAAGTGGAGCAGCCAGGAAACACACTGGCAATCAGGTGGTGGGTTAACCTGATACACCATGACACCACCCAGAATTAGGCTATTATTACTCAGGGTCATGATCACAGTGGTTTCCTAGTAACAAATCATTCAAAGAAATAAGAAACCAAATAAAGGAGATGAGCCCCCAAACTTGAAAGTCATTGTGAGCATCAAGGTCCAGATGATTTCTATTCTGGGAATTATTCTGAGTAGATTGGATAATAAACACTCCAATATTTTCCCTGATTCTGTTTTGAGAAGAAACATGTGCTAAAGTCTGCATATGTAATCTCTTTCAGGGACCCATGAAAACAAATTTCATGTAACATGTACAATTTTTAAAATGACATGGATGCTTGAATTTTGAAGGTAATAGAATTACCAAAATTAAACAACTTTTCACACTAGAATTTTGAATTTTACTCTTGGAAATAGTCCTTTGAAAGTGAATGCTTTTAATAATAATAATTAGAATATATATGTCAATTTATAGCTATTCCATCCATCTGAACCCATCAGCAAAGAAAAGAGGAATGAATGTTGTTTTTCCTCATTTTTTAGGTTGTGGAAACTAAGCTCTTTTGAATTTTTGTGACTTTTAAATGAATTCTGCTTAGCCATTATTTGCCTTGGTCTTAACTGGTATGACATTTCATATCCTATCTGTGTCAAAAAATCTTAATGTTTTCAAATTCGAAGTTTTATGTCCTTATTTGTCAAGCAGAAATACAGGCAGCTTTTACAGGAATTAAATTTGAGGATGAATGAGAAAATCTTTGGGAAAATGTATCTTTGAAATTGATAAATTTACTATTATTTCAAGTAAAGATATGCTAAGTTTTGTCAGTGTTAGGGTTAAAGACAATAATTGTTGCCTACCTCTTGCTGCATAACTGAAAATCTTCATATCATGTTAATCATACAAATTGCTTAGTCATATTTTTTCCCTTACCCTGATTTTTCATGCTAGCCACTATACCCTCAGTAATACTTCCTGTTGTGGAGTTACCAGCAAGCGTTAAAGCAAAACAACAGTGCCATCAAATGAGAAGAGAAATAAAACAGACAGTTATCCACAGAGTCCAGATGTCAAATGGCATCATAACAATTTTCATTATGGGGATGGAATGAGAGGAAACAAAATGAAAAGAAAGAAGACACTCTTTAAACTGGGATGTTTGTGGGACTGAAGACATTCCCTTTACAGTATCACATTTGGTTTTCTGAGTGTTCCATTCCACAATCCCCCAATCCAGCTCTGTATTTCTAACTTTTCTGCATTTATTTTAGTTCTTCAGAAACTTCCATGTGATTTTCAGTCATGAGTCATTTGTGAAAGCTGTTCTTCTAACCATTTAATGAAAAGAGGCAAACTATAGGATCAAGATATCTTGTGTTGGTGCCCAGGAATATGCTATTTTAGAATCTCTCTCTGTGATTCTATGTATAGATGGATAGGGACACCTATCCAAGGGAACCATGACTAAAGAATGTATTCAGTGCTCACTGCTGGGGCAATTCAGAATTACCTTGTGTTTTGCTAGCACTTGCTTAGCACTTCTCCAAAAGCAAGGCATTATTGTACATTCCCATGCCTTGATGGCTTTCCTTTTACTCTGAGAATTCCTTTCACTGTTATGAATTTATGAATTAACTTAATCTGAGATATTGTTTTTGAGAGAAAATCATCTTGGATCAAATTAATATTTTTGGTTGTCTAGAAATGTTGGATTCACTAGTAAATTGTTTGAATTATTTAGCTGTAATATATCAAGATTATCAGATTATCATAATATATTTCTAGTTAATAATTATAGCATGAAGCTTTCTTACTAAAATATGGAGCTTCTTCAATGTGCACTAGGCAATTGAGTTGACCCACAGAGGATATTTGGGGTTAAATTTCTAGATAATCTATTCAATTGTTTAATCATTTTTCTCATTCATTCTGCTGTTACTTTTGTGTCACTGTCTATAAAACTATACATTTAGAATATAATAATAAGCTCAATGCCTATGTTTTTACCTTTTTTGTTGCCATTTTGTTTTCCTGGTTTATCTCCAAATTTGTGAAAATCACAAACAATCTAATATTTTATACAGCATTAAGAAATAACAGAGTTTGCCAGCTAAAGCAAGGAACTGAAAACTCCAGAGAACACATCGCCCAATGAGTTTATTATCATTCTGGATGTGCAGTTCTTACGTTTATGGTGCACTGAGCGTGTTCAGCAGGCTGCATGTGCAGCTATAAACACAGAACAGATGCTGTAATGAAGAGCTTCCAACTGATCTATCCGTTGGAATATTGTTCTGAGGAGTTACAAGTCTGACAACATTTTCGTGATAGGCTGCTTCCAAGATACAACGGAGGAGTGATATTGCATGCCTATTTTTGCAAAGTTTGCTTCAAGTTTTTGTTTCATCCATAACCAAAAATCTGACACAACCAATTGTTTCGGCACTTGCTTTATGTTGTCTTACATATTAGTTAGGAGGAATTTAAACAATAAATTGGGTGCTTGACTTAATTGAGCTATTTATAGTTAGAAGTCCTTTTAGACATAACCCTATCCTGGAAAATCAACTGCGGTATAATTGCTTCTGACACCTCTAATTTCTTTAGCTGTTGTTTTAATGTATTTGAATGGTGAAATACTCAAGTCTGGCAAGAGTAGTTAAAAGAATTTAAATTTGTCTTTTTCTTTTTAGAGCTATCTATTTATGTGAATGTCAGAGTTACAAAGAGAGATGCAGAGACAGAGGGAAATCTTCATCTACTGGTTCAATCCCTAAATAGCCTCAATGGCCAGAGCTTGGATGAGCCAAATCCAGGAGCCGGGAACTTCTTCTGTGTCTCCTTTGTGGGTGAGGGGCCCAAGGATTTGGACCATCTTCTGCTCCTTTCTTAGGCACACCTGCAGGGAGCCGGGTTGGAAGTGGATCAGCCAGGACCAAACTGATGCCACAGGTGGCAGCTTTACCCACTATGCCACAGCACCACCCCTTAAATATAAATTCTCAACTTTTAAATTTAAAAAAATAAAATCCATAAGCTAGAGCAATGTAATGAAAACTGAACCCAGGGTATACTTATGAAAAAGGTTTCTAAGCTTGGTACATTAGAACTGAGTAGAAATAAAAAAGAAAACAGGGATTTATATTTTGTGGCTGGGTGATTGAAAAAAATACAACTACTATAAACCAAGTGGGAGATACAAGAGTTAGGGAAGCTGTTGATGAACTACATTTCAGACTTAGTGATTTAGAAACCATAAAATTATGGTCCTACCATTGTGCAAACTTTCCAGAAAGGGAACTGAAGATTTGACCAAGGTCACACAGATAGTAGATGGAGGAATTTGTGTTTGAACTCAAGCACTCTGGCACTTGAACCAGAAATAAGTTTTTAATTAATAAACTGTAGTTGCAACCTAAAATTTTCTATTCCTTTGAAACACATATAACATTTCTTTCTAATCCAAATATTTCTACCTAAGATAGCCAAGAATTATTAAGACAGAGCCTGTCCTTGAATGTAGCACACAGAATAATTTTATTAGATAATGTTGCCTTCTGAGAAGTAAAAAAGGCTATTTTGATAACCAAATATGAGAAAAATAGGAGAAAAAGAAACAGAGTGTAAAAAGAGGAGGAGGAAGAAGAGGAAGAATTGGAGGAGGAGGGGGAAAAGAATTGAGAAGGAAAGGAAAAGATGAAGAAGGGAAGGGAGGAGCCATTGCAAAGATTTTGGGAGTGAACCTACAGATACAAATGCTCTCTCTCTCTCTTCTCTCTCTCTCTCTCTATCTCGCCCCCCACCCAATAAAGAAAGAGTGACAATGGCATACAAGCCTCAGGTTTCTTCGAGAATGAAGTCTGAGCTCAAAAGAAGGGTCCAGGCAAACTCTTTTGATACTAGGCTCAGTTTTTCAGAGTGCTTTTCACAATCAAGAAGGAAAAAATAGAAGGGAAAACATTAGAGAACACTTTCACTTAAGAGATAAGATAAAGATGGAGAGTCTGAGGCCAGTAGGCAAAA